AAATAAATAAAATCTTTAAAAAAAAAAAAAAAAAAAGAACGACCCAAATATGGGAATGCAAGCTGGTACAGCCACTCTGGAAAACAGTATGGAGGTTCCCCAAAGGTGAAAATAGAGCTACCCTACGACCCAGCAATACCCCAAAGATACAAATGTAGTGATCCCAAGGGGCACCCACACCCCGATGTTTATAGCAGCAATTTCCACAATAGCCAAACTGTGAAAGAGCCCAGATGTCCATCGACTGATGAATAAAGAAGATGTGGTGTACACACACACACACACACACACACACACAATGGACTATTACTCAGCCATCAAAAAAAAAAAAAAGAAATCTTGCCATTTGCAACGACATGGATGGAACTAGAGGGTATTATGCTATGTGAAATAAGTCAATCAGAGAAAGACAATTATCATATGATCTCACTCATACGTGGAATTTAAGACACAAGACAGAACATCATAGGGGAAGGGAGGGAAAAATAAAACAAGACAAAATCAGAGAGGGAGACTCTTAACCACAGGAAAGAAACTGAGCTTTGCTGGAGGGGAGGGGGATGGGGGGATGGGGAAAGTGGGTGATACACTATATGTTAATTGAATTTAAATTTAAAAAATATAATAGAGCAAGTTACACACACAAAGATCTACCCAAATGTAACACCATTAATATTGTTAACTGAGGTGCAAGATTAATGGACCAGGAACCACAAGATTTCTAACTCTGTGACCTATGAACATTTCTGTATGTACCTTACACTTGCATCAAAACATGTTAAAAGAACAGATTTCTAATTCTGCGTCTGCTGCAAACTAGAGTTAACGTAAGTTAGGGCCACCTTCCTTCTAAGGGGCCTTAGTTCCCTCATTCGTAAAATGAGGGTGTTGAACTATATACTATCTTATATTATCTGGAACTATCTGTGATTTATTTCTCATTACTCAACGTCTTGATAATATACAATAACACATTCTTAAAATGGAGGTTTTGACACGTAGGTGGGGACCCATCTGTTTGATGTGAAATGCCTGAGGTCAAAGAACAAAGAGGTTTATGAGATTCCTGGCTGTTTTATGAGATGATACAGGGGATCCCCAGGGACTGACTGGGAGACATTGAGCAGATGAAAGCACTCGGAATTTCAGACACGAAAGCAACACAGGGCTCCAAGTGTACCTTCTCTATGTTCACATACAATGTAAGTCTTTACATTGTATGTACAGGATGCAGATTTCCTCGTCCCTGACCCTCGGTTTGAATCTGAATCTGCCAATTATTCGGCCAGCTATGTGACTCTGAGCAATTTCCTTCCCCTCTCAAAGTCTCAGCCTCTTAAACCAGCACCAAGACAAGAGAAGCTCTACCACAGCGTAGGGCATGGCACATGATGTCCAAGCCCCATCCTGCTCCTCCAAATGGCTCAGCATATTTACGGAGTATCTCTGCTCTTCTCAACTCTTGGCGTTATACTGGGGATGACTAAGGAACATATCTGACGTGTGAGTTCCCAGCATAATACTGTGCACACATATACACATTTACTGAACAGCTTTTGAGGACAGAAGCAGAATTCAAAGAAATCCCCTACGAACAATGGAAGTACAGCTCTTCATTTCTAAGGAGGGATGAGATGAGAAGCAGGGACAGAAGAGAATTCAGGCTGTGTTTCTAATCTCTCATACACAAGTACCGTTAGATACTAGGACAGATCTCCAGATACTTAAGATATTACACAATAATTTTTTCTTAGAGTGAAAATCTGGGAAATGCAAAAAGAGGATGAAAAGAAAAACGTACCCGTAATTATAATGCCCAGAGATAAAGAGTTCTGATGAGGAGCCTCAAAAGACTGTTGGCGCCATTCCACCCCAGCCATGCATCTCAAACGGCAAGAACACGTGAGTTTCCTTTCTTCCCTCCATCCTTCCATCAATCTAACTCCCACCTTGTATCAGAAAGAGTTACAGGTGATGCCGGACATTAGCTTAAGTCCCTGAAAGCAGCCCTCAGTTCTCACATCACACCTGTACGATGAGATACTCCATTACTGTTATTGGAAAGATACCAGATAATCCGAATGTTATTCACCGAGCACCTTTTTCTCACCATATACGGTGCTTGGTACTTTCACACACATCATCTCTGTGAAAATGCTTTGTAAACCTTCAAGCACCACTCAGACTATAGCATTGAGATAGTATAGATTCTTGATCGTCCCAATGGCGATTTCATCATCTAGAAGGCAGAGGAAGCACAAGGTGCTAACTAGGCCTAATTCCAAACAACCAAGAATCAGGGAGAAACCTGGGCAGGAAGAAGGGTCAGTATCATGTAGTTTTCTTGACAAATTATGAAACAGAAAAGCAACCTACACATTCCCCTGCTGGATCTTTCTAGACCAGACAGAAAATATCCCACAATCTGTTTTCCCAAACTCTTCAAAATTTCCTGGAGCGGGATGTGCCCTGACCACATCTGCATCTCAAAGGTGAGCACCCATTAGAATAAAATGTAACGGGTCCGCAAAATGCGAACCTCCTGTGCCACAGGAGAATCTGTACCCACAGAACCGAACGTGGGCAATCTCTTTAGAATCTGGGCTCTCTCTGCAATGAGGCACAGGTGCCCACACACCTGAGCAAGCCACCGTGCGCAGAGCCTCCCCACGTGCCGGCACGGGTAAGCATGCACACCTGTGGCTCCCCCGCCCCACCGAGTCTGCCGATTCTCAGCAGACCTGACTTCAACCTGGGACGTGTTGTTAAGACCCAGTCATGAAGCGTTGTCTCTGAAGGCTTATAATTGAAAAGGGCACAGGGTGCTTGTTAGAGCACCCTCGGTGCCAGATTGTGAGGAGTGAATGGCCGAGATGAACTTTAATTACCAGTCCCTGTGGCGGGCTCACCTGTTTTGCTGTTTCGGTGAGGGCAGCAGCTTCTGCCTTGCCCAGTTGCTGCACCATCTTGTAAAACAGGCTCTCTTCGTTCTGCAGCAAAACATAGGGTTCATCATATTCTTTCAGTCTTCCTGAATCCAAAACCTGTTGATCAGCAGAAAGAAACCCATTAGCACACAATGTTTTGCAGTAACATATTATAACTCAGATAATATTTCGGAAAGGGGCAGGAGAAGGAGAATAGAGAGAATCCATTTGGGTGGTAGGCCTGGCTGGTGTTTAAATGGTTTGATTACCCTGTTTTACTAGGCAGACAAAGGCCTAGCCCGACCTTTTATTATTATAATGTTATAGGAAAGGAAGAAAATGAAAGTTTTAGACTATGATTATGGGCACTCAGCAGTCCTGTGGCATTTTATATTCTGCAAAGGCATTTTGGGTTGTTATTAGTTAGTGCTTTTAGCTCTCAGACTCCAAGCTTTGAGGGCTATTTATACATACATCCAGACTTGGGAAATTTCTTGATTTAAGAAAATCAAAGTCGGTTTACCTAAAAAGTAGGGTGATGTCATCCAGACCAGATGGCAGTGACCCGAAAGCAAATTAATAGCCGAGCTGGCTTGACAGAATCTGAGCAATATCTGAAAAAGAAGTCAATGCTTCTGGAATTTCTTCAGGGTCCTGGAATATGTCAGCCGGTAAGAGGGGACAAAATAACCCCGTCGGCGAGATTAAGGTGCATCTTGAAGTTGGCTTTGGTTGGAGCTTATTATTCTGGGAGTGAAAGATTGGCTAAAAGAGCTGCTACCTAAGCAGCTTTAGCATAATTGCTCTGCACAGAAGAAATCTCTAGAAATCCAATTTTCTTTTTGGATAAGACTAAAGAAGTAATTAAGAAACTGAGCTCCAAATTCCAGCGATCGTGGCCTGCACAGTCCACGGGGGCAACCCAATCTCAATTGCAGAAGATCTGAATATCTGTTTTCACAATTATCTCCCCTGCTTCCTTTTCTCTCTTTCTTCGGCTGCCTGCCTTTCAGCCATTTTATTGCTCCTTAATATGTCCACTAATTGGAAATTGAAAGGGAGAGGAAGGGGCTCTTAACTCTACATTTCCACTTACTAGTAGCTCTGGTTAATGGTTCAGGAGGGAAGAAAGAGGCTGAAACAATTGGCCCAAATGACGTACCTAGGAAAACAGTTCTTTAAGTGGTACTTAGTTCTTCATTTAGGTGGTCTTTAGAGTAAATTTATCTTAAGGGGATACGCGGGGAACTCCAAGCAGGACGCAGGCTGTGTGTCCACATCTAGGGACTGCAGTTAATTCCGTCCCGTGGTATTTGATCGGAAACATTAAGTCTCATAAAGGGCATTTTCCTGTTAATCTTTTGTTTACTACTGTGAATCACTGCTAAGGGCAGCTTTCTCAAAGGAGTTCAAGAATAATTGAATCTGTCACATCCACATAATAATTAAAATGTCCTATAATTTGGCATGCCAATTTAGATGCCCCGAATGTGTAATTTTACTTAAGCATAGCATTATAGAGCATAACCATTCCTCCTGATGTTGAAGAAGAAGAAGAAAAAAAAAAAGCAATTGTAAAATACAGGTTTCTCTCATGCTTAAAGACTAAGTAAATAAGTGAATCAAATTACTTCACACAATGAAGAACTTTATATTCTGCAAAAGCAACAACTTTTTAAAAAATCACCAGTTCAGAGTTAGTGGAAAATGAGTTCTCCGACTATAAAGACTTCACCTAATTTTTAATGGAATGAAAGTATTACTGATATTTTGTCCTTGTCCAGCTTCCTACTTTATTCACATTTGAGTGAATAGTAAATTTTTCCATCTTCTCTCATACTGTCTGAAAACACACAAATACCACTGAGATGACTTAGTTCTCAGAACTGACCAGTATCTGAAAAGGCAGAGCCAGAAAAAAATTAATGCTTTCAAAAAGCAACAGGATTTTTTTTTTTAAAGATTTTATTTATTTATTTGAGAGAGAGAGAATGAGAGACAGCACGAGAGGGAAGAGGGCAGAGGGAGAAGCAGACCCCCCGCCGAGCAAGGAGCCCGATGTGGGACTCGATCCCGGGACTCCAGGATCATGACCTGAGCCGAAGGCAGTCGCTTAACCAACTGAGCCACCCAGGCGCCCCAAAAAGCAACAGGATTAACAATATAAATGATCAAAAGATTATTTTGGTCAAAATACTTTGAGTCTTGTAAGTACTAAATATAAATGCAATGTAACAAAGAATGACTACCTTAAGATTAAAAAAAAAAAATCACCCCATAACTAAAATAGCAGTCTTTTGAATTTGAAAAGGAATAAAAATAGCTGTGGATTGAACACTCATTGTTTCCCACATGCTTTATAGATATCACTGTTAATTCTCAAGGTAGACAAGGTACATAATTCCTTTCCTTCCTTCCATCCATCCATCCATCAATCCATTTATCATTCCTTCCTTCTTACCTTCCACTCTCCCATCTATCCATCCAGGAAATACTGGTACCTAATACCAAAAGCACTATACTAGGAACAGGAAATTCAAAGATGAGCAAGACACACTCCGTCCAGAAACTCACAGCCAGAGATGAAGACTGAGGTGCAGATGTGTTAAGTAATTTGGCTCAGGCTACAGAATCAAGTAGATAGCAGAGGTGGTATTCAAACCCAGGGCTGAATCCCTATTCTTTCCTCTCCATGTGAGTTCCCAGAGAAAGACACTTTGATTATTTATGATCAGAAGCAAAATACGGGAGATGAGACTGTTAACATTCAATTTTCTAAGATACCTTTCCATATGGATAGTATCATATATTAACTTTGTATAATTTAAGAAAATATGCCTATAAACGTAAACATTTCCCCCTGTCCACTTTCCACTGCATTTTTATTATACTCAGGGCTCATATTATTTACTGTGTGCCTAGTAGATACTCGCAGAAAAAGAAAACCAATTTTATTAAACTTTTAGGATTAATTAAGCGTAAGTAACACAAGGCAAAAACACATTTGAGGAAAATAAGTAAACTTTCATTAATTCCTGAACTTATTCAGCAAACATTTATTGCCTACTTAACTGTGCTCACGCCATCATGAGAGATGCTGTGCAGGAGGCAAAAGATATGTAAGTCACAACCCCTGACTTTCTGGAGTCTGTACTGACAGAGAGAGAAGTCCTCAAATGTCTATAAGGCAAGAAAAAAAAGCACAACAAAGGGGATCTGAGCAGCAGAAGACATGACTTCTGGCCACAGGTTCTGAGGACGAGCTTCAAGATGGAGAAAGCATACCAAACTGAGCCTGAAAGAATGGGTAGGCTTGAACATACAGCAGTGGGGCTGGGGGGTGGAGAGTGGCCACTCCAGACACAGAGAACATGAGCCAAGAGGTCCAGAGATGAGCCCGTCAACTCCTTAAGGGCAGGATGCCATGGTTTCCCGTTCTGCTGTTGCATCTCCCAGCCGTGGCATCGTACATGATGAGACGCAGGTGCAGAGTGCACACTGGTTCCAAGTTAAATACAAAGGAAACGGAATTTGGGGCATGATGGCGTGACTGCCCAGTGGTGCAGTTGAAAGGACTCAAGGGGAGTGAGTGTGGCTGCCACTGGGAATCGGGCGGTGGGATCCAGGGAGGACAAGACCGGGGGTAGAGACTCAGAGGGCCACATACCTGAGGTAGCTGAGTGGGCAAGAGGGAGAGGCACCTGAGGGACAGACAGACCAGGGCTGAGGACGGAGGCTTGAAACTCATTTATCTCATGTATCGGAGAAGAGAAAGGAGAGAAGGTGCAGTCAGAGAGGAGGGACATTGGCAGAAACAAGAGTGCAGAGCCACCGAGATCACACCAGCGGCTACAGAGCCCCCTTGGGGTGCAGACTGAAAAAAGTCCAGGCACAGAACTGTACCCACTTTGCCTTTACCTTTACTGGTTTGAGCAAAAAGTCCAGATCTTTCAGAATAAGTAAACATAAAGCAACTCCAGATTTTCTTTATGTACAGAAAAACAGGTAGAATTTTGAGTTTTTATTGTTAACATCTCTTCTATCTGGAAGAAACGGCTCCCGTGATCTCCCGCGGTGCCCCCAACTCTCCTATAGCCCGAGTTAAATGACAAACGCGACCACACGTTCCAGCTGGTGTGAGAGCAACCCCACGGCGCCAACATCTCTCCAGGAACGCCAGCCTCCAATCACTCGCGCTCTCTAGCAGGTTAAGGGAAAATACATTATGTTGGACAAGCCAGTCAGTTACATAAACTCAGTGAAGACGTGCTTATCAGGCCCATGTATCTGCAGATATTCCAGGTAGCTGTCCTAGATATAAAAATTAAATGGACCCATTGCAAAATAATCGAATCCATTTTTAAATGGCGAATGCCATCAGTGATATGGGGTGGCTGCAGGGAGAGGCGGGGCGGGAGGGGGTACAGGACAGGGTGGACGAGAGACCTGACAACAGCAGAGAGACGCCTGGGACAGCTGTCAGTACGGCAACAAGCAACAGAGGGAGAGCCCACTTAGCAGCAAGCAGAGTGGGGAGGTCGGAGTTTCAGACATCTGCTTTTGGTGGCCCAGGGACAAAGAGGCAGAGGGGCAGTTATCCAGCCTTGGAACTTGGGTCCCTCTCTGGTAAGATGGATGCCTGGGATTTTCTCTGTGATAAGATACTGTGGGGAGTATTACTCAGAATCCTTTCTTAGGTCTTGAAATGGTCCACCATTGTCACCTGGGGAAGCTGAACGCTAGGTCACAGTGACCGCTGGAGCTACTGCCCCCAAATTCCTGCTATTGCAAGTATTTCTTCTCCCGGATTGTGCTTTCAACCGTCACAGTGGTTATTTTTCCCTCTGAAAACCGGAATGAAACCTCTTGGTGTTTTGAAGGAGCTGTTCTCTTCCGAAATGTTCTAACTGTGGCCACGTATGCAGGCTTAGTGAAGCGAAGCTCCAGGAAGTGAAAAATAGCATTTCAATAAAACTCCAGGTGGCTCTGAGGTGCTTTTGTGCTTTTCCAGGTGGGTACGTTACAACAGTGTCTGGGTTTGATTTCTCTGGGAAAAACTCTACTCAGAAGAAGTTGGAGTTTAGGAAGAAAGATAAAGACCATAAAACCATAACATG